TTTTATATTAAGGGTATTTTAAGTAGTTAAATGGTTGAATAGTAAAAAGGGGTATTTGGGAAATGGTATGTTTGAATTTGGAGTATTTTCAATAATTTCCCTGGAACCACCGCCCCGCTTTACCACTCCCATTTTTCACTCCTTCTCTCTCCTGCTGATTTCATAGCGTCTTCCTCAAGCACTCTGCGTTGCACTTCTCACTATATATATAAAACTCGATATTATTGAAGTTTTATTAATTTATCTCGCACCAGGGTTTTAAAACCTCGTCTCGGTAAAACGGTGTTTCAGAAATTCGAGGTATGTTACATATAACGGTGATTATAAATGTGGAGTACAGGTTTATTCACGTGTGTTGACGTAGTGATTTTATTTTAGCTAATATTCTTATGGCGTATTTTTTTATCTAATTGGTTTTTTAAAAAATTGGAGTTATATACTGGAGTTTTTTTTTTTTGAAAAAAATTAGAAACTGGTATTTTTAAATCCTTATTAGAGGTTTTCCTTAAAATAAACCATGGACAGTTAGGTAATTTCTAGAGAAGGTTGAATTCTGATTTATATGGTGATTTTTTGATCTATTCGATTTGTAAACAATGAGGAAGTTGTAATGCAGGAGTTTTTTTTTTTGTACTTATTATCGATGATTTGCATTTGAAACTGCCATTTTTTCGTATAATACCCTTTCATATCTTTTCTAATAAATGAACCCCAGACAATTAGGACTTCATAAAAATGGACAAATAGGCCACTTCGAGAAAGGGTTGGATTTTCATAGCATGTAAAACCCTACATTCATTGCTGTTGATTTTGATGATTCATGCTCTTTTCCGTTTCATCAAATTTTGGGCTCTATATGGGCTTTTTTTAGGGTATAATGGAAAGGATTGGGTTGGAAAGATGTTTCCCACTAATTCCAATGGACACTGAATGAAAAGTCAGTTATTATGGTTTAATCTTGCAATTGGAGAGAGCCTATTTGTTTAAAATACTTGTAGAGTGATCAGCATCTAACCTGTCTAACGTCAAAAGATGAGCACTTCCTCTTTTTAAGTCATACCCAGCTGTAGCCTGGCTCTTTTATTACTCATTTGTGACACATTAGTTTTTGCACGCTTGTTGCATCATTCCAACTTCCTTCCGTCGCTAGAACATTTGCCAGTAATACGTAAATAGCAGGATCATTAGGGCAAAGTTCCATGAGCTTTCTTGCACAACTTACAGCAATTCCTTATTGTCATGAACTTGACAAGCACTTAGCAAAACTTTATATACCGAGGGCCTGCCTCAATTGGCATGCTATTGATGAAGGCCTATGCTTTTTGAAATTTTAAACATCATCTCTTAAATTTGAAATGGGTAAAACTAAACTTTTTATTTATGAAATTTTCCCCTTTTTAATCTAGGAGCATGCTTCAAAGGGGACTGGATTTGGAAACGACCTAATAGCACATGCGTCCTTAAAAGATTAGTCCAAAACTGGATGGGCTCATATTCAATCCAAGCCTAATGATGGGCCATTTGAAGTAGATTGCACCTCTCACTCAGCTATAGCTTTTGATCAAATGGCTTCTCCATACACCACATTCCAGTCCGAGGAAGAGCGATGAATCAAGATGCTGAGATGACGATCCTGCACTTTCCTGCAATTCGCTTACGACAGCACACCCTATACAATGCTACAAAAGGATTCAACTACATTTTTTCCCGTGCTCTAAAGAACCCCAACCACCAATCAAGTTTCCTAGAACACAGTTCCGCCATTTTTAGCAATTCAATAACTGTAAATTCAGATTGTATAACTCAATGGATGCAAAATTGGTCTTTAGAGAATCCGTACACTATAAATGAAATAGTATCCTGGTGCGCTCAAAAGGGTTCCTTATCTACTGGCATTCAGCTTCATTGTCGCATTCTCAAGACGGGTTTTGCTAATAATGTTTATATAAGCACTTCCTTGATTTATATGTATGGAAAATGCGGTGAAAATGTATTGGCTCATAATTTGTTTGTTGAAATGCCTAACAGAAATGCCGTCGCTTGGAATTCTTTGATTTCTGGCTATGTGAACTCCTACTATCCTGGAACTGCTATTGAATTGTTCATCAAGATGTTAAGCGAGGGCATTTCTGTCACGCCCTACACTGTTTCGTCTGTTTTGATAGGATGCTCACAGTTAGAAGATGCTATGCTAGGGATTCAAGTGCATGGCTTGAGTCTTAAAGCTGGGTTCGGGTTTTATGCTGTTGCAGGGAGTAGTTTGATTGATATGTATGCACATTGTGGGAAAATTGAGGATTCAAGAAAAGTTTTTGATCGAGTAATAGCAAAAAATGTAGTTACATGGAACTCGATGATTACTGGGTATGCTCAGAAACAATGCTCCATTAAAGCAATGATTGTGTTCAGGGAAATGCTGCGGTCTGCTGTTGAGGCGAATTATGTTACATATAATAGTTTGTTGAGCTCATTTTGCTGTCGGGATGATTTAGATCATTGCAAACAGATTCATTGTTGTATAAGTCGGGAGGGCTTAGAATCTAACATTTATTTGGTAACTACATTAATGACTGTGTACTCAAATTCGGGTTGTAGCTTAGGGGATTTCTATAATATCTGCTGCGGTGTTACAGTATGGGACCAAATTGCATGGAATGCTGTAATTGCTGGATTTTCCAATTTGGGGATTGGTAAGGAAGCTCTACTGTGCTTTTCTAGAATGAGACATGAAGGTATTACTGTTGATTTTTTTACATTCACAAGCCTAATAAAAGCATTGGGAAGCAGTTCATCCCTAGAAGAGGGAAAACAGATCCATGCTGCTGTTCTCAAAACAGGTTTTACTTCAAAAAATTACATACAAAATGGGCTTGTTTCCATGTATGGAAAATGTGGAAAGATTGATGATGCAAAGAAGGCATTCTTTTTTATGGATGACCACGATGTGATTTCATGGAATTCAATAATTACAAGCTGTGCTCAGCATGGTTATGGTAGTGAAGCTATTCAAATTTTCGAACAAATGAGGAGACGTGAGATTAAACCCAATCTGACCACTTTCCTTGCAGTCCTCACTGCATGCAGCCATGTTGGATTGCTTGAGAAAGGCCTAGAGTATTTTGATATGATGAAAAGTAATGATTCCCTTCCACCACCCAAGTTAGAGCACTATGCTTGTGTCGTGGATCTCTATGGACGGGCTGGGTATATCCAAGAAGCAGAGGCCTTCATCAATAGCATGCCAATTAAGGCAGGTCCCTCCGTATATAAAGTTTTGCTAAGTGCTTGTCAAGTTCATGGCAATAAGGAAATCGCTGTAAGTTGTGCAAGAAAGCTTGTGGAACTTTGCCCGAACGATCCTGCTATTTATGTATTACTGGCAAATGTTATGGCAACAGAAGGAAGTTGGAATGATGCAGCAAGCGTGCGAAAACTAATGTGTCACAAAGGAGTGATAAAAGAGCCAGGCTATAGTTGGGTATGACTTAAAAAGAGGAAGTGCTCATCTTTTGATGTTAGACAGGTTAGATGTCTATCTCTCTATTTTGAACAAATAGGCTCCCTCCAATTGCAAGATTAAACCATAATAACTGAATTTTCATTCAGTGTCCATTGGAATTAGTGGGAAACAAACAGTCCCCTTTGGATAACCCTCTTTCTAGTTCAGTTTTTCATTCTTATGGTTTTGAAGTTTCTTTATCGCGAAGTATGGAAGTTCTCATTACAAAGATTTTTGAAATCTTATTGATGCAAGCTGGTCACATAGTTTTTATTATTTTGCTTTAGCATTGGTATTGAGAAGAACGTGAGTCCATATTCTCATGTGCATATCCGTATATAATATGTAACTTATTATGGAACGATAACAAGAGTTATGCGTGTCAACATTTCTGGCTGCCTTTTGGTATTCTAGATATTTTAATATTTTGTTTGGCCCAAAATGTCTTTTTAAATGGGCACTTCTCTTTTTTAAAGAGGGCATTTNGAAAAAAACATACTTCAAATGAGGAGCACGCCTCATTTTTTTTGCCTCAGATGTAGAGGCGTGCGCCTAATTCTTTTTGCCTCACAGATTGAGCCTCGAGGCACAGAAACTGCACCTCACAGTGAGGCGGTCCTCAAGGGGAGCCTCAGCAAGGTTTTTTCATACCATGGGCAGCTTTAGGGTGTCCAACCAGATGGTGTTGGCATTATACAACTAGATTAAACAGATTATGATGAAAGGAAAATGAGCATTCAAGAGTGATTCAATTGTTTAGATATCTTTCAAAAAGTCATGTTCATGTGAGAATTGCATCTAAATTTATTGACATCGTGAAAGAATTTGTATAAGTATTGTCAAACTATCTATATCAAGATTAAAACTCCATAATGTTGAAGATTACCAACTATAGAATAATTAAATAAAATGCCACGTGAAAAAAATCCTAATAAAGGGTATAAGTTAGAAAAATTGTATAATTACGGGGGCAAAATGTGCAATTAGGCAAAATTATTAAATGATGACTTTCATCAAATACAGGGGGTCATTTTGGTCCATCAACCTTTCTAGGGTTCTGGTTTGAACAAAAATCTATCATAAGAGGCCGCAAACCTAATTATTCCCTCTCAGCAGCTCTAGCAGTATTCTTCATGTGTTATCTTCCGGTAATCTTTCTACTATTTCTCTTTCCTTATAATTTATTTGTGTATAATATTTGTTTGCACACATTTTTTTTATTAAATTAATCATTCTGCAACTGTACCTTTATTTAGAGTAGTAATACATGCAATTATATTGGGGAATGGTCCGTCCGTTTTCAATTTTGAGGAGGGTTTCGTTTGGAATTATTTTTCTTTAAAAAAAATTGTTGTTTGTAAGTATAGCTATGATATGTTGGTTGTGTACCTTTCATGTAGTGATACGTTATGAAGTTAAGAAAAAATGGTAATATTGTCAAGGATTTTCGGTGACTAAGGTGTTTTAGGGCTGAAATAAATGAATTTAGGACTCGAAACAAGGGATTTGACCACTAAATATTCTGGACGAATTCGGAATTTTTGGTGGGGGTTGATCCTTGTGCATTTATTTCAAAATTATAACTGAAACATCAAATTATAAGTTTAAAGATCTTGGTTCAGATTGTTGAGTCAAAGAAGATTTCTTACTTTTGGTTGGACATAATTCGTCAGTTAACTGGGTTATTTTTTATTCAGGTGCTTAACCTTTGTTTGCAATTGAACAATTTGCCAAGATGCAGAATGACGAGGGACAAAATATGGATCTCTACATTCCCAGAAAGTGGTGTGTATCTTTTCTATGATGCTATTATTCCGTCTTTTTATGCCGATTCTTCCCTTTTTGTATTAGATTTAAAAGTGAAATGTGTTATGATGTTGATGTTATGTGAAATTTTGTGTTTGGTGCAGTTCTGCCACAAACAGGCTGATCACGTCCAAGGATCGTGCATCTGTCCATATCAACGTTGGGCATTTGGATCAAACGGGCCGATACACTGGCCAATTCTCTACCTTTGCTCTCTGTGGATTCATCCGTGCCCAGGTTTTTATTCTTGCTTATCTTTCCTTTTTATGATTTGAGTGCATTTTAAATCTGATGCTGCACCTTTCTTCTGGTTTGTTCCGAAGCTATAAATGATGCTCATTTGATTTTGTTATGAAGATTATTTTTTTCTATTACTAATTTACATGAAGATATTGTTTGAATAATTCTAATAACTACAATTGCTCTACGGAACAATTTCTACTAAATATTACTAAAATTTTCCATCTGCATTGTTTTTAAAGGTCGTTTTTCCTAATCATCAAAATGTAAATATTGAGAAAATTGTAGAGTTATAGTCAATGTTTTTTCTAATCATCAAAATGTAAATATTGAGAAAATTGTGGAGTTATAGTCAATGAAACAGGGAAAAGAAATAAAAAGATTGTCTTTAATTCATTTTTGCTGCCTCAGCCTATATTGATGATAGAAAAACCACTGAATTTCACATGAAATAGGAGGAAGGCAACCATCTTAACCTTAAATATTATAAAATTCCATTCAATCTGATTGGACCAAGTAATATACAACCACAAGGTTTTAAATTCTTATCAAGTGTCATGCAAGACATTGTTTCACGGGTTGTCTTTCTTCTTAGCACGGAAAGGGACACCGTGCGGTAGTAGTCTACTCCGCTAGACTACCTTCCGCCTTCTCTCGGTTGTTTCGGGATGAAAGAAAATTTGATCACAATTTAAAGAAAGAGTGCAACATGAAATTGAAATGCATTGGAAATAACTTGTTCATTAATTGCTTGAAAGCATGAAATTACAATGACTAGTGTAGGGGTGAACACTAAAAAGTTTAAAAGATGTTTGAAATACTAATACCCCCTATAATAGATTTTGGAACAAAAACCCAACTAGCGGGAGTAGACGTTTAAATGTCGAAGAATCATACTAAACTTTTCTAATTTTTATCTATTTTACAATTTAAATAAACTATTACAATGGAAATAAAATTACAACTCAAACTATGTACAATGTGCGGCCGAAGTTGGGCAAACTGCGGCTGCGATAGGGTCACGGGGCTTAGTAAAGCTGCGGTCCGTGACACATTGAGAGGCTTAGTTGATCAAGTATTTCAAAGTATAGATGATCCTCACTTTATGAGGTCCTTTTGTGGTACTGTTGTTATATATATCTATCTCTATCTCGCTGCAAACCCATGGGAGATGCACTCCAAACCTCAACGTGGCTTAGTAAAGCTGCGGTTCGTGATACATTGAGAGGCTTAGTTGATCAAGTATTTCAAAGTATTGATGATCTTCACTTTATGAGGTCCATCTGTGGTACTCTTGTAGTTATATATCTCTATCTCTATCTCGCTGCAAACCCATCGGAGATGCACTCCAAACCTCAATCCCCTAAAACACACACCTTAAAACTAGCATATTAATTTATCTGTGTGTTTGCCTACACTTGAATATTTGTTTGCTTGATTTATCTTTTCCTCTTTATTTTATTTGTTCACCATCTATGTGGCAATTTATTTTCTTTTATCAGCGTTATGTTGATGGCTTGATTAGATATTTTCTCCAGTTTCATTGCCTACATTTGAATATTTGTTGTATGATTTTTTGTGGATTTTTTTATGCATAGCCCTTGTTTGACACCCATTT